TCACGACTAACCATTCACGTCGCCCAGTGCCTTCACGACTAGCCATTCACGTCGTCCATCACCTTCACGACTAACCATTCACGTCGTCCATCACCTTCACGACTATACCATTCACGTCGTCCATCACCTTCACGACTAACCATTCACGTCGTCCATCACCTTCACGACTATACCATTCACGTCGCCCATCACCTTCACGACTAACCATTCACGTCGTCCATCACCTTCACGACTAACCATTCACGTCGCCCATCACCTTCACGACTACCACCATCCGGTTACCTCCATTTTATCCTGAATATATATCTGCCTGCTATGTGCCCTCCGCTTAATTATTTTGTTCTCCTTTCCCTCTCCTCTTGATCATTTCTTGTGGCGTTTATTGCCTCAGCGTCGGGTCCTCCCCCTCCGCTGCTGCCAAGTAACTGCTGGCTCTTGTTCCTGTGTTTGGGCTTGTGCGGCAGGTAATTCCAGCCTTTTTCTCCCCCTCTAGTTTCTTGCCAATTGCACTCTTAAAGATTTATGTGGACCAAGTATTAGAGTGGAGTTAATGAGGTTTTTAATGTTTCATATTGACATAAAATGCAAGAAAATTAGGAATACAATAATTATGTTACTTTCTGATTACATTTTTTGTGTGTGGATAGGCAGGCAGGAAGGTTACTCAGTAGACAAAATATTGAAGTTCTTGCGAGGCAGGATCAGGTATAACATTTGGGGTTTAAGGCTCATGCTCGCTGATGATATAGAAAATTGGTTTACTGAGGCTTATATAAAATATATATAAATGTAATATTTTCCCCTGTATTTTAATGTAAGTTTATTCTTCAATTTTTGTAACTCGTTTATAGGTAAATAAGTATAACATTCAGGGTTTTCTAAAAGATCTTGTTCTGTACTACTGAAACACTTGTTCACTAAGAATTGTAATGTATAATTGCCTTGTAACACTTATGTATATGTAACTTATATTGTATTTTTTAAATAAAGATAAAAAAAAAAAAAATTGTATCGTTCCTGTTCATACATTTACAAATTACATTTATAATTTTCACTTGCTGCTCTTTCCATTTATTGTTCTTGTTGGATTGATGGTCACAGTTTAGGGCAGCCGGTAGCCCTCTTGCCCCTGGGGGGGGGGGGAGGTAGAACATGGCTCCTGACGGAGGGTATTACACCTGACGACTACACCTGACGACTACACCTGACGATGCCCAACCCACACATCTGAAAATGGAAAAACCGACGACGGTTCGGTCCGTCCACGACTATTATCTAGTCGTCTAATTCTGAGTATTAGAGGACTTGATAATGGTCCAAGATGGAGCGAAACTTCGTCGGTGTTTCATTTTCTGCTGCGTGGGTTTGGGTGTCGGCTCTACAGCTACGTTATTGAGACTCGTCGTCTGCTTCTAGATGTGATGTTCCGTAAGGGACATCACTTCTAAAAGGAGCCAAGCAGCTCCTTTTCAGCGCTAGTAACTTTGTATTCCACCGTGTGTCTTGTGTTGTAGCCGTGATTATTGTTCTGTCCAGTACACTGAATGGACTGGCCAGTAAGGCTTGAATTTAACATCGTATTTTGTATTCTTAAGACAACCTGCTTGATTAAAGTTGAGGCGATGAGAGATGAAGTTTGAGACACACAGCGGTACATCATCAGGATAATTTGACACCGCTTGACACCGTGAAATTTCTATAGTGCTCCATTGTTCATACACTGTCACCCCCACGGCAGGTGCGGCTCAAGACGGAGCCTTAGACAAGACATGCAAGAGCCCAGAAAAGGTCAGAAGAGAGGGCGCCCGTGGAACCTTTCTCTCTCTCCAGTCTCGGGAGAGCTGTGATGAAAACACTCCTAACGTTTTTATTCCTGAGAGGCAGCATCCAATTGGGAACGGGGGAGAGGAGGGGAAGAGGCTTAATTATCTGACTGGGATTATCTGGCGCGACCTTCCCTCGGTCTAAAAATCCCAGCAGGAGCAGCAGCAGCAGCACTGTGGGCTTCTTGCTGCAGCTGTGTTTCTGGCCGCTCAGGGAGCTCAAATGAGGTTGTTGGAACAACCTGGTTGTTCTTTCCAGGTTGGAAAGTGAGAGAATTGGATACGCCAGTGAAGGTAAGGGAGAAATAAGGAGGACCTTGCCTTTACCCTCCGCTGTAGAAGGTGTAATTATGCTCTACAGAAATAGTTTCTATATCTGCATGAAAAATAGACAAGCGTTCTTGATTTTATGCAAATTAAATGCAAACGCATGAAAAACTTTTATTATGTACAATAACGCTCGACGAAAACCTTCATATTCATGTTCGAAAACCATACTGTGTCTGTTATGTTCTTATTCTCCAGATGTTCTACCCATTTGGTTTTAACTATTTTTACTAGTGTTTTGACTACCACACTTGTTAATGATACAAATGTTCTAATGAAAACAAAAACCACATTGTAGTTTATAAAAATGCCCTAAACTCTGGATATTGTGAACTCCACAACACAAAGCATCATTGGACACAGCACTCCAGCAGACACCTTGCGCAACGCGCCCACAGGTGCGCAACGCGCCCACAGGTGCGCAACGCGCCCACAGGTGCGCAACACAGGGAAAACACCGTCATCGTGTGAGAAACACGAACACTCGTATTGATGTTGCAGTATTGACCTTGCAGTCATTGCAAGGTTTGTAAGGTAATTATGAAGAGATGAAGAGAGACCAGGATATTACGGGCTCACCATAGCCCGTGCTACATGGACACTTCGCTCTGAGTAGCTAAATCTAAAACAACAACAGACGAGGACAGCATGCTGGGATAGGACGGAGCGACGGAATGGTGCCCAACCACTCGGACCACCGGGAATCGAACACTCGCCAACAAAAAGTCATCGAAAGACACTATACCAAAAAGCAATTATTCTTATCTATAGAACAAAATCAACTTCCGTAGATAAGTGACGACGGCTTCTACGATAAAAGTTTACGATGGCCTCCTCTTGTGTGGAAGGCTTGCCCAAGTCTTCTATTTGGCCATAGAATTTGATTGCTACAGATGTATATATGTTGCACGTAGAGCGAGGCGAGGTATAACCCAGTCGAGGGGTACCGAGAAGTCTTGCCTCATCTTGCATATTATATATATAGAGAAGATTGATGCTAGAAACATGCGCGCACGCACGCATTCACGTACACAAAACACACACTCTTAACAATTGTTTTTGGGTCATTGCAATATCTCAACGTAACACACATGAGACAAGAGGGAGTCGTGAGCTCTGCCAGCACGCTCACGTGTCCGCACCAGCCAAAAACATCGCCAGAATTTGCAATAATAATCCGGACAATGAGAACAAATGTTTGAGGCGTCGTAGTGTAGATCCTCTGGGATCCCGCAGAGAGCTGGTTTAAATCCCCTCCCAATCCTACCCAGGCCACGTGTCTTTGTTGTGAAGGTCGTCAGCTGCTTCCGGCCCGACTTGTTCAGACAAGTTTTGTGCTGCGTTGCAGAATGGTGTGGTTGTGGGACAGGGAGGTGTGGTTGTGGGACAGGGAGGTGTGGTTGTGGGACAGGGAGGTGTGGTTGTGGGACAGGGAGGTGTGGTTGTGGGACAGGGAGGTGTGGTTGTGGGACAGGGAGGTGTGGTTGTGGGACAGGGAGGTGTGGTTGTGGGACAGGGAGGTGTGGTGTTGTGGGACAGGGAGGTGTGGTTGTGGGACAGGGAGGTGTGGTTGTGGGACAGGGAGGTGTGGTTGTGGGACAGGGAGGTGTGGTTGTGGGACAGGGAGGTGTGGTTATGTGAGAGGCAGTGGGAGAGTGAGGTGTGTGTTGATCTAGTTGATGTCTTGTGAACATTCTCGGAGGATTTAAGGATATACTCAGAGTTGAGGCTTGCTGTGAGAACTCGCAGGGGGGGAAGGTGGTATATATTCGAAAGAGATATGTTGGCATGCAGAGACGCACGTGTGTGCGTTTTCACACCTAATTGGGCTCTGTCAACTCTACATGTGAAACTGTTCATTATTGTCTGCATCCACCACATTACTGGATGTGATAGAGAAATCTCGGGATACAGAATTCTCTATTCTCAGGATAACCATCTTGGAACTCCGGTCCTTTTCTATAGGCCGCGGCCCCTGCTGCTCCTCCTCCTTTCCTTCCCTCTTTCCTTATTACAAATGTAGTCCTGGAGAAACTGTCATTCGCCATGACACCTGACACTTTCATTTCAGCACAACTGCTATTACATCTGGTTTTTAATGGTTGCAGATTTTTTATGATTTTTCTTGAAGTTCACTTGCTTTACTTGTATTACCATCAACGTTTGAGTACACTATTTTAAAGCACACATTCTTATATCCTCTCTGGCCCTGGTTATGAATTTCACAGGTGTTGACGTTCTGTGGGGTTATGGTATGGTAGTAATAGGCATCCAACTGTCTCAGGAGACTGACGTTGTGCTCTGGTTGTCGGTCTGGAGTGGCCTCTCCAGGGCGCAAAGCCAGGGTACGTTGATACGGGGGAGAAGCTGTCACCCATGTAGCAGGTCCCCCCCCCCCCTCCTCTCCAGTGGAGTTGACACTCCATGCAGTATGTTGAGGATAATGGGGAGTTAGGGGCAGGAGTTAGAGAGAAGGGGCTTGGAGGTTGTTGACATGGGGAGAAGGAGGGGAGGTTAGGTTTTGCCCAGAATTATATTCATGGTAGGGGCAGGGGTGGCCTTCTAATGGGGGGCAGGGAGGGTCAGAGATGGGGAGAGACTCTTTGAGATGGAAGACTGAGGGTGCATTTGTCAGAGGGAAGTTGTTGTGGATCGTTAGCAATCTGGAGAATAAATAATGTGTGTGTGTCGCGGGGGAAAGGGAGGGGGAGGTTGTAGGTTATAATCACTATGTATATTCGCCTTATTTTCAGACGGTTATGTTTTCAGGGTAGAGGAGTAGCTCCCTGGCCCCGCATTTCTTTATCTTGGTTTTCATTCCTCTTAAGGATCCAGTCGTGGCTTCGTTTGATGTTGCTCACTGAATTCGTCCCAACGATCTGTGCCCGTCTGCCCCGGCGACTCGGGCGCCCGTCTGCCCCGGCGACTCGGGCGCCCGTCTGCCCCGGCGACTCGGGCGCCCGTCTGCCCCGGCGACTCGGGCGTCCGTCTGCCCCGGCGACTCGGGCGCCCGTCTGCCCCGGCGACTCGGGCGCCCGTCTGCCCCGGCGACTCGGGCGCCCGTCTGCCCCGGCGACTCGGGCGCCCGTCTGCCCCGGCGACTCGGGCGCCCGTCTGCCCCGGCGACTCGGGCGCCCGTCTGCCCCGGCGACTCGGGCGCCCGTCTGCCCCGGCGACTCGGGCGCCCGTCTGCCCCGGCGACTCGGGCGCCCGTCTGCCCCGGCGACTCGGGCGCCCGTCTGCCCCGGCGACTCGGGCGCCCATCTGCCCCGGCGACTCGGGCGCCCGTCTGCCCCGGCGACTCGGGCGCCCGTCTGCCCCGGCGACTCGGGCGCCCGTCTGCCCCGGCGACTCGGGCGCCCGTCTGCCCCGGCGACTCGGGCGCCCGTCTGCCCCGGCGACTCGGGCGTCCGTCTGCCCCGGCGACTCGGGCGCCCGTCTGCCCCGGCGACTCGGGCGCCCGTCTGCCCCGGCGACTCGGGCGCCCGTCTGCCCCGGCGACTCGGGCGCCCGTCTGCCCCGGCGACTCGGGCGCCCGTCTGCCCCGGCGACTCGGGCGCCCGTCTGCCCCGGCGACTCGGGCGCCCGTCTGCCCCGGCGACTCGGGCGTCCGTCTGCCCCGGCGACTCGGGCGCCCGTCTGCCCCGGCGACTCGGGCGCCCGTCTGCCCCGGCGACTCGGGCGCCCGTCTGCCCCGGCGACTCGGGCGCCCGTCTGCCCCGGCGACTCGGGCGCCCGTCTGCCCCGGCGACTCGGGCGCCCGTCTGCCCCGGCGACTCGGGCGCCCGTCTGCCCCGGCGACTCGGGCGCCCGTCTGCCCCGGCGACTCGGGCGCCCGTCTGCCCCGGCGACTCGGGCGCCCGTCTGCCCCGGCGACTCGGGCGCCCGTCTGCCCCGGCGACTCGGGCGCCCGTCTGCCCCGGCGACTCGGGCGTCCGTCTGCCCCGGCGACTCGGGCGCCCGTCTGCCCCGGCGACTCGGGCGCCCGTCTGCCCCGGCGACTCGGGCGCCCGTCTGCCCCGGCGACTCGGGCGCCCGTCTGCCCCGGCGACTCGGGCGCCCGTCTGCCCCGGCGACTCGGGCGCCCGTCTGCCCCGGCGACTCGGGCGCCCGTCTGCCCCGGCGACTCGGGCGTCCGTCTGCCCCGGCGACTCGGGCGCCCGTCTGCCCCGGCGACTCGGGCGTCCGTCTGCCCCGGCGACTCGGGCGTCCGTCTGCCCCGGCGACTCGGGCGTCCGTCTGCCCCGGCGACTCGGGCGCCCGTCTGCCCCGGCGACTCGGGCGCCCGCCTCCAGAACCAAAACAATCCTTGCGCGAAAGTGTTTTGTCTTCGTCTGCCTTAAGAAGGCAGAGAAAATGTCACCGTGGGCAACAACGAATGGTTAAGCGGGCGAAAACGACAGGAAATAATCCATTTCGTTCTCCTCGTTTATCTCCTCTTTCCTTCCTCTTTCCTTCCTTATTCTCCTCCACACTCCTACTTTGCTGGTGAAAATAATTCGAGGGAGATATATTGCTCGACAGATTTAATCAGTAAAGCAAAAACCATTGCAAGAATACATTTGTTTTGTTAGAGGAGACGGATGCAGCAGGAGTGAAAATGGCGCCTTGGGATGTCAGGGCAGAAGGGGTGGCGTCAGGAGAGAGGCCCCCTCTTCCCCCCCCCTCTTCAGGGCGATATCAGGGCAGAGGTCCCCTCCCCTCTTCCTCCCTTAAGTCATCCTGGCAGTACGAGACCTGCCCCCCAGACCTCTCATACTCCAAGGATATATAGACTCAACGTAGAGAACGAGTATCACACAGCATAAGAACGTCGGAAAGTTTGAGCACCAGATACAATAGCTAGGAGGCGGGGGTCCCCTTGACTATGTTGATACACACACACACACACACACACACACACACATACGAAAAAGAGAAAAGAGAGGTACGAAATACGAAAAGATACGAAAAGAGAGGACACAGAGACAGGGAGGGGGAGTAGCACTCCTAATAAAGCGGAAATGGAAGTTTGAAGACCTGGGGAATCGAGTTACCAATGAGTGCACAAGCTTCATACATGGAACTCTGACAGTAGATGGGAGGAAGATTGTGATCATGGTAATCTACAATCCCCCACCAAACAGTAGAAGACCCAGGCAGGAGTATGATGACAACAACAAAGCATGTATAGATGAACTGCAGAAGGCAGCAACACTAGCCCACAGAATGAGAGCGAAGCTGCTGATCATGGGGGACCTAAATCATGGAGAGATAAATTGGGAATCAAGGAATCCCCATGGAGGGGATGAAACGTGGGGAGCAAAATTAGTAGATGTTATAGACAGGAATTTCCTGACACAACATGTGAAGGAAGACACAAGGGAAAGAGGAGGAGATGCACCGAGCCTATTAGACCTGATTTTCACCCAGAACGTAGAAGATATCGAGAATTTAGAGCATGAAATACCTCTAGGGGCCAGTGACCATTGTGTCCTAGTCTTTGACTACATGATGGAATTCAAAATTATGACCATGGGACAAGAGATCTGGGAAAGGAGAGCTGACTACAGGAAAGGGGACTATATGAGGATAAGGGACTATCTGGGTGAAGTGCAGTGGGAGGAAGAAATTAGAGGAAAAACAGTCCAAGATATGATGGACCTAGTCATACAGAAATGCCAGGAGGCCGAAGAGAGATTTATACCAACGGTAAAGGGAAAAAATAAGAAGGAATATAATAACCCATGGTTTAATAGACAGTGTCAGGAAGCAAAAATGGCCAGCAGGCGGGAGTGGAGGAAGTACAGAAGACAAAGAACAGAGGACAACAGAAGCAGATACAACAGAGCTAGGAACGATTACATTAACATAAGACGAACATCGGAAAGGGACTATGAGAACGATATTGCAATCAAAGCGAAAAAACAACCTAAGTTACTACACAGTCATATAAGAAGAAAAATGTCGGTGAACGACCAAGTGACAAGACTAAGGAAGACAGAGGGGGCATATACTGAAAGTGACAAGGAAATCTGCGAGGCACTGAATGCCAGTTTCCATGGAGTGTTCACTACCGAGCCTGAGCAGCTCCCATTGTTGGAAGGGGTTACCCTAGATGAAAGACTATCAGATATAGAGGTGACAGCAGAGGAGGTAATGAAACAGTTGACAACTCTAGATGCAACTAAAGCAGTTGGACCAGACAAAGTATCACCGTGGATACTAAAAGAAGCAGCACAGGCCCTCAGCGTGCCTCTGGCAATGATCTTTAATGAGTCACTTATGTCAGGAGAATTGCCCAGTTGCTGGAAGAAGGCAAATGTCGTGCCGATCTTCAAGAAAGGAGATAGGGAGGAGGCACTTAACTACAGACCTGTATCACTGACAAGCATCCCCTGTAAAATACTGGAAAGAATAATTAGGCTACGACTGGTTGCACACCTGGAGAACATTAGGTTTGTGAACAAACATCAACATGGGTTCTGGACAGGGAAATCGTGCCTAACAAACCTTCTGGAATTCTATGATAAAATAACGAGGATAAGACAGGACAGAGATGGTTGGGCAGACTGCATATTTCTGGACTGCCAAAAAGCCTTTGATACAGTACCGCACATGAGACTGCTGTTCAAGCTCGAGAGGCAGGCGGGGGTGGGGGGAAAGGTCCTAGAATGGATAAGGAACTACCTAACAGGAAGGAGCCAAAGAGTTACGGTAAGGGGCGAGAAGTCGGACTGGCGAACAGTAACAAGTGGAGTACCACAAGGATCGGTGCTGGGACCAATTCTATTTCTTGTATATGTTAACGACATGTTTACAGGCGTAGAGTCCTACATGTCGATGTTTGCGGATGATGCAAAGTTGATGAGAAGAGTTGTGACAGATGAGGATTGCAGGATCCTCCAAGAGGACCTGAACAGATTGCAGAGATGGTCAGAGAAATGGCTACTAGAATTCAACACGAGCAAATGTAAAGTTATGGAAATGGGACTAGGAGATAGGAGACCAAAGGGACAGTACACAATGAAGGGGAACAGCCTACCTGTAACGACGCGTGAAAGAGACCTGGGGGTGGACGTAACACCTAATCTATCTCCTGAGGCACATATTAATAGGATAACGACAGCAGCGTACTCTACACTGGCAAAAGTTAGAACATCATTCAGAAACCTAAGTAAGGAGGCATTTAGGGCGCTTTACACTGCCTACGTAAGGCCAGTCTTAGAGTATGCCGCCTCATCATGGAGTCCCCATCTGAAGAAGCATATAATGAAACTGGAAAAGGTTCAGAGGTTTGCAACGAGACTCGTCCCAGAGCTACGAGGGATGGGGTATGAAGAGCGCCTGAGGGAACTGTGCCTTACGACACTAGAAAGAAGAAGGGAGAGGGGGGACATGATAGGAACGTATAAGATTCTCAGAGGAATTGACAGAGTGGACATAGACGAAATGTTCACACGGAATAGTAACAGAACGAGAGGACATGGATGGAAGCTTGAAACTCAGATGAGTCACAGAGATGTAAGGAAGTTTTCTTTTAGCGTGAGAGTAGTGGGGAAATGGAATGCACTTCAGGAACAGGTTGTGGAAGCAAATACTATTCATAATTTTAAAACCAGGTATGATAGGGAAATGGGACAGGAGTCATTGCTGTAAACAACCGATGCTCGAAAGGCGGGATCCAAGAGTCAATGCTCGATCCTGCAAGCACATATAGGTGAGTACATATAGGTGAGTACACACACACACACACACACACACACACACACTGCAGGATCCCAGACTCACGAAAAACATGCATACCTTTGTGTGTATTTTACCCCAACAAACTTATTTCAATTTCAACGTGAGGATCTCCTTACAGTGTATCTCCTTACAGTGTATCTCCTTACAGTGTATCTGCAATAACTGAAACCTGAATATTCCAGGTGCCAATAGCCGTTGTCGTAGATGAGACCTCAGGAGCTCGAAGTATCTTGTGTGACACTATGGCACTGCCACACACCTGACACTCCGGGAAGAAGAAGAAGAAGAAGAAAGCCTTACCGTGAGTGTCATGGGGTGGCACTGCATCACCAGGCACTGTGGAAGGATGCCACAACCCGGATTATTAGTTTCCGGTCAAACGATATTTTTTTTCCTTGTCCCGCTGTTATTGGTGTCCTTTGTTGCGTGGCCCGTTGCGTCTCTGTTGCGTGGCCCGTTGCGTCTCTGTTGCGTGGCCCGTTGCGTCTCTGTTGCGTGGCCCGTTGCGTCTCTGTTGCGTGGCCCGTTGCGTCTCTGTTGCGTGGCCCGTTGCGTCTCTGTTGCGTGGCCCGTTGCGTCTCTGTTGCGTGGCCCGTTGCGTCTCTGTTGCGTGGTCCGTTGCGTCTCTGTTGCGTGGCCCGGGCCTCTGGTTCGGGAAGAGGATAGGGAAGGATAGTGGGAGGAAGGTAGAGAGAGAGTTGTGGATAGGGAGCCGGTCGGCCGAGCGGACAGCACGCTGGACTTGTGATCCTGTGGTCCCGGGGGTCGATCCCGGGCGCCGGCGAGAAACAAAGGGCAGAGTTTCTTTCACCCTATGCCCCTGTTACCTAGCAGTAAAATAGGTACCTGGGTGTTAGTCAGCTGTCACGGGCTGCTTCCTGGGGGTGGAGGCCTGGTCAAGGACCGGGCCGCGGGGACACTAAAAAAAAAAAAAAAAAAAAGCCCGGAAATCATCTCAAGATAACCTCAAGATAGGGGGAGGGGAGAGGAGGGTAGGGGGAACTATCAGGTGAAAGCGACAAGGCATTAGCCTACATAGCACTTGGAACTGGTCAGGATAAGGATTTGGGATGGGACGGGGGGAAAGGAATGGTGCCCCAACCACTTGGACGGTCGGGGGGATTGAACGCCGACCTGCATGAAGGGAGACCGTCGCTCTACCGTCCAGCCCAAGTGATTGGGTTGGACGTATTGTATGATCTACTACATGTGAAGATCATACAGTAGATGATCTATACAACAGTTATGTTCTGGATAAACTCAAACTCTATAGCACATGGCAGGTTAATAAAGTCTCGGAACACATCAGTTCGGTATTGAAACCCAAAAAAGTCTTTTCCAATACTCATCTCCCCTACCCCCACTACCCCCCTCCTCCCCCACTACCCCCTCCTCCCCCACTACCCCCCTCCTCCCCCACTACCCCCCTCCTCCCCCACTACCCCCCTCCTCCCCCACTTCCCCCCTCCTCCCCCACTACCCCCCTCCTCCCCCACTACCCCCCTCCTCCCCCACTACCCCCCTCCTCCCCCACTACCCCCCTCCTCCCCCACTACCCCCCTCCTCCCCCGGCCACGCTGTGCACGCTACGGCGGTATTTTGAAAAAAATGTGCATGGAAATATTTAGAAAAAATAAGTTACATGAAAACCCCCAATA